ATTTATATATATAATTAGTAAAAATATTTTATATCAAATGAATTATTATTATTTATCTAATATTTATGCATTTTTAATTTAATAGAAGCTATTATTATTATTATTATTTTTTCTTTTATAATAAATACGCTCATGTGTTGGTTTGAATATGTAGAAAAAAAGCTCGGACTTATGTAGAAAAAAAGCTCGAACTTAATAGATTAATTAAGCTGAATTAAATGTATTTAAATGTCATATAAAATCAATTTTAATTATTATTAAGTTTGTAACATGTATATTAATATTCATATATCAAGCACAATCAATTTAATCATTTATGAATATTTTAACACAACATATGGCAATCTCCACCAGTAAATTGAAAGTTTGAAACTTTTAATTTTTTTTATTTATTGTGCTATCCCCCAATATTGGCAAATACTGTGGAGGGACCGAAGCTTCCAATCTTCAATCTTGTTCTCAAGATCGACCAAGTGGAACTTTTGAGTCGATCCAAAAATATCATAATTGTTGGGCTCCACTTTGAAAGAGAACCTGTAAGAAAAATAGCTCCTAAGATTAGAGGATCTCCATCTCCTATAAGTATATCACGAAAGACATGACAACTATGATTGAGTTTGGCTTTATCTTAGGGACTACTCCATAGTGGTTCATGATCGACAATATCTCGGGACAGAAGGGTAGCTGTAATCTCTACCAGAATTGGTCCCGAAAGAAAATCAGATATTCACCAAAATCGTTGGTCACCCTAGCCTCCCGCTGCACTGACTCGAGCATTATAATTGCATTGTATACACAAGTATCTTCGACAAACTCTACATTAAATGATGAAAGGGAAGACTTTTCATTCGCTGACATGGAACCAGAGAGTTGGGAGAATGTTTGGAAACCATGCAAAGCGAGAATGACCGAAGGAAATGCAATGGAAGAATTAAAAAGTACTGTTTTTTTTCCCTTGACCCTTATATATAGGGTACTTAGAAAATTTAAAACACCGCAGATTCATGCCACGATCTCCAGAAATTCACATCAAATCAACACAATTTTTGAGAAAAAAAAAATTACATAAAATCTCAAAAATTTATGGACTAAATTAATCATTTAGTCAAGATAAAAAAATATTTTACTAGGTTCTTCGACCACCTCGTCCGAT